TTTTTTTTTTTTTTTTTAAATTACTGAGAACTTCAGACTGTTTCCCAATAGAGAGGATAGACATTAAAATTATTAAAGGATCTTTGCATTTTTGTGCATTTAAGGGTCAATATTGTTAATGTAAGAAACCTACACTGACTAAGGAGCTAAACATTTTGGTTTTGAACATTTAGGATGATAGGAGGTTTATGTACCATCATGCTTTGGAATACTTAATGTTTAAATATAACATTTAAGGTTTCATAAACTGTAAGATATCAAACATACCGTCAAATCCTCCAATAAACAGGAGAAACATCAAACCAAAACCTACCCATCTTAAAATGAATGACGTCTGTAGAAGATAAGATGCACATTCACCACTTTGTTAAACATTTTATTAGTCATTTCATCTTGCATATATTGCATTTATATTCATATAGTTATTTCTGAAAAAATAACTTCAGCACGTAAGAAACTAAACAAAAGATCTTCAACATAAGAAATATATACATATTCATGTCATAGTCGTATATATATCTCTTAATTTGCTTTATAAATGCCGTAGAGAACTCTTTTGAAAAAACACACGAAAAAAAATAGAAAAATTGTAAATAAATTACAAACAAATGTAAAAATACACCCAGTCGTAGCATTTATAGAAGAATCTAAACCCCTGCCACCCCAAATGAAACTGACTGAATATTCATGAAGCTGACGTTCACATTTCAAATATCGAGGAGGGACATCACAACAACGGTCTCACCCAAACATCTCACCAAAATGTTTTTAATACAATCTTTAAACTACATTTCCAAGCTATAGTTTAGACATAATTGACCATTAAAGGGCGAGTGAAGGACCTTTAGCATATAGCGTTTACTGTGAGGCATTACAGGAGCTTCCAAAGATCCGGTGCGTAAAGTGCAATGCAGCTGGACGGGACGGGACGGAACGCTGAGGGGGAAGGGATGTCAAAGAAAGCCAGCATTGGCTCCTACCTTCAAGAAGATTCTAGAACGCCAGCCTCCATCCTACCTCAAAACGTTTCACAAAACTCAGCCACTGCAGTCAGAATATATGAGGTAACATTCAGAGTCCTAGAGTGGAGTATACAAAGTGCAATTTTCACTGTAGCATCTCTTCCAAACCACCATTCACGACCTCAGGAACGTAAAAATAACAGCGTTAAATTCAACATGCGTCTCTGTGCCGGCAAGCTATTCAGAGTGTCTCCACATCAATGACCTTTAATCTCGTGTCCTATCCCATTCAAAGACATTCGGTGGTTAATCAAAACCTCCAACTGTTACCTTCACGCACTTTTGACCGGGAACCCAAGTGTGAAACCAATCAGACTCACGCAACAATCATTCTGCCAGTTTGTCTTGCGTGTCTGAACTTACGAGATCTGCAAGAACGAAAACATGCATCAATTCTCAATCTGACTCACTAGAAATGGTTTTAAACACTGGCTGGTTTCATCAGGATATGACAATGTGTTCAAACTGAACAGGAGAATCCTAAAGCTAAACCAACATCGTAGACGTGAGCTGCCTCTTAATCATCAGCTCAAGAGCATGAGACCCATGTCGGTTCAGAGAACATGCCATAAAATTACCATAAACCCTCAATTATGATCACTGAGGTGTGACCAAACTGTTAACGTGGGTGTAATCTCCAGAGCGTCATATTTCTGAACATAAACACCATCCAAAAATCCATTTTAGACCTCTAGAATCTAATGTAAGAATATTAGCTTTTTTCCCCCAGAGTCAATTTTAAAAAGTAGCATTAATCAAAGCAGATTAGAGAGACAAACATTTGGGCAATAAAGTGACTCATTACTGAAAACAACAAACGCAAAAACACCTGTGCAACAGGAGGTTGGTTACTCCAAGAGATAGTCAATTCATAAAATAAACAACATCATGGAACGAGAAACAAAGGAACGGAAAAATAACAAATCACAAGTAATACTCAATTAGTAGTTATAATACTCTTAATTTATCATGGTGGTAGTAACGATTCATGGAGGGGGGAAAAAATTCCTCAAGGAAAGTGTTTCAGCACTGGGATCTCTTCAACTCTGAGACTTTAATTGGCCAACACCACAGGTTGGAAGGCCTGGCCGGAATACTGCAGGTTGTATCCGAGTCCTTCCACGAATGGAGGTTTATCTATGAAGGAAATTCCACTGTTGCCTCCAATGATTCCCACAGCCTGTCCTGGTTGTGGACTGGAGAATGGATCGAAGGAGGCGTGTGGGTGTGGAGCCTGGAATGGCGCCATTGACGGACCTTCGGCGTCAAAGTAGATGGGCCTCTGGGAAGCGGGAAACACAAACTCTTTGGCATTAGGAGACAATTGGCTTGGGATGGGACCAGCTAGAGAGTGCATGGAGAGGGAAAGGGGTTTGTGCTTGACCAGCCCCGGGGGGGAGATGGTGCTTGGGGAGCGCGTGATCATCCTCTGTTGTGGAGCTGTGACAGCGCCAGAACCGGAGGCAACTCCAGGGTTCCCGCACTTCTTCATCTTGGTGGAGCCAAATTTGGTGGCGGCGAAACTGGCTGTGGTGAAGGTGATCGGCTGAGGTGTGGGCCGCGAGTTGGGTGTAGAGTACAAAAGGCTGGTGCTTGGTGGCGACGGGGTGGATGTGTTGGAGGAATGAGCGCTGGGATTGGTGGGAGTGCTGGGAGCAGCGTAACCGAACAGTCCTGGGCAAGATGAGGTAGAAAGAGGAGTTGGCGAACTGGAGAGCGACGGTAGCATAACCGGCGACACCTGGCCACCGATGGGCACGAAGACCTGAGCCTCTGGGTTAAAGCCCAGACTCTTGACATCCTCGAACTCCACATCTCCTTTGAGAGCGACGTCGGAGCTTTCGGTATCGCCCCCTAAACCTGGCGGATCCTCCGTGTAGAGGACTTTCACGGCACCCTTTTCCCCAATCTGGTAGGACACTTCATAAGGATCGATCCAAATGCTGAGCTCGGGGGGAACGTTGGCGCGGACTTCCTCTGTGTCCAGACCGCTTCTCCTGGCTGCCAGCTCCACCACAGGGTCCCTGGGAGCTCCCAGTTGCAGGCAGCGGAAGGCAGAACCACGTAAAGGAGCTTCAGGGTACCAATGCCCTTCGAAGCGGGACACCAGGATACGCTCCAACTCCTCACCAAACAGATCTGCCCTACGGCGCGGGAGCTTGTTGTACAAGTAGGACACGATGAAGTTCAACGCAACTTTAACTTCCAGATGCATGATGAATTTGATTATGTGTTGAAAGTTCCTTCAGTTATACAGAGATTTATGGCCGTCCTATCATCACTTGCAAATATCAAGGTGAAAGTCTTTAGTCTTTGCCTTAAACGTCAATTTAAAAGCAAGGGCCTCTGATTTTGGATCGTTGCTCAGAAATTGCGTAAAAGTGATTGTCAGAGACCAGTTGATCTTTAAAAATCTTCACCCTGAAGCATTGATGTATGAAGACCGGACAGCAGCTTTCCAAGATCCAGTTTCGTCAAAGCCTCTAGAAAGACAAAAACAGACCAGTTAAACAGAATATTAATACGCAGTTCATTGACTGTCTGTGTGCAGGTTTCTTTGTTTTAACAGATGCTGAGGCCAAGGTACCAATCCGTGATTATCTTCATGAAATCCTTCATCTGTCCCTCTGGCTAAAGCATTTAGGATTACATGTGCTAAGAGAGGAAAATTTGCCACCAAATGCATCCTGTCCACTCACAGTAGCTCAAAGAAACACTAAAGCCCTATTCGCACGGGATTAGTATTATCTGGAGACCTTGTGTGATTTTGAAATTACCCCCCCCCCCCCACATCTGAATTTCGTGAGGTGCATTCGCACGGGATAAGCGAAGCCTGTGATTTTACTTGAATTTACTGACTTATCTCCCGGATGTCAAGGCTTTGAGAGTCCCGTTCTATGGTCCAGATGGATTTTAAAAAAAAACAATATAGTTTCGTGCACTGTGTCATTTATATTTCACCAGGTTAAAATAATATCTCAAGCTTTGTGCTCGATTTATTTATAACACATTAACCTCAATCTTTTCAGCTTTCTCTGTCTGCAAATTGTATGGTGTACCTATATAACAGCACCCAAAATACTATCAAACATTCCAACGCAGCTCCATTCTTCGCGGAAGATGGATAAAAAGGCGCACAGGAAAAAAAAGAAGAAAAAAAAAACTCATACGACCTGCCAAATGCTGGCTAAATCACAGAGATGCCGATTCGCACGGGACTAATATTAGCACAGGACCTCGGTGTTCGGCTTATATGGTATAGGTCATTTGCGGGGGAATTTTTACTTTACAAATTACAGACATGGCCGATTCGCACGGGATTAAGATCAAGGCGCACAGGAAAAAAAAGAAGAAAAAAAAAAACTCATACGACCTGCCAAATGCTGGCTAAATCACAGAGATGCCGATTCGCATGGGACTAATATTAGCACAGGACCTCGGTGTTCGTTATATGGTATAGGTCATTTGCGGGGGAATTTTTACTTTACAAATTACAGACATGGCCGATTCGCACGGGATTAAGATCACAGACAACCTCCGCAATTATTACAAATGACTGGAGGTCACCAGGTAATACTAATCCCGTGCGAATAGGGCTTAAGAGGGAACGTCCTACAAGGATATATCATATGACTTCAAGCCCAGTGAATGTCATTTTTGTCTCAATAGTGGAAAAGGCATCACTTTTGACTGTGCCAGAGTATACACTTTACAGGAAGTAACAAACCAAAGGTTTGTGGTTTATAGTTTACCTGCACATTAAACAGAGATGGGAGAAAGCATGTAATTTTTTTAATGACACCTAAAATGGCATCACATACACTTACTGTAATACATTCTATCGAAATTAGAAAAATATCATATTGTGCATTTCGAGTTTTAAACCATCTGAGGGGAAACCTTGTAAACTGTTGATAAAATGGTGCTGTTGAAGGCAGGAGTTAAAAACTACACCTCCCGGCATGCACCACGCCGCCGCCTTTGACGTCATCACCGCGCGTGTGAATGTTGATGTGACGCCTCCGCATTTTCAAAACACTGATAAGCTCCGTTAAAAGCCCGTTTTATAAATGCACCGCCCTTGTAAAATTTATAAGAGAGGCGGATCCGCGTTGAGCTTGCAACAACATTTGATGACAGTGACAGTAAATGTCACGAAACGGATGATTCTTCAGAAAAGAGACGCGTTAAATAGTGCGCTTAAACACCGATAAATACCAGCACTGTTATTTCATCATGCAGCCATTAAATTCAAAACGCGGTTTAGATATATGGACATAGATGTTAGGTGATTTGATATTTTCCTTGTGCAATTTTCTTCTTAATTTAAAATGCATGATTAAAAAAATAAATAAATCTAATCTCTATTCGAGATTTTATGCTGTCATTTAATATGTTGAAATTACTAATTGATCAAATAAACTAAACGAGCAGTGCATCCATCTGAAAAATTAATGTCGTGATTTCAATGTCACTCAATGTCAGAGTTTGATCAAATGCCACAACATAAACAAACACTATCCAACACAACACAGTGAAACAATAACAGTGTTGCATGACAATAGAAACAACTGAAGCAGGTGGGATGCAAGGGGGGGGGGGTCCCCTCAAAGAAACTTAATTTATTTTAAGATAACTTCATTATCCAACTCCAAAACTAACCAGAGAGTTTCAATTCAAAACCACAAATCCCGAGCGTTAGAATTCAATTTTGCACGCTTATCCCAGTTCACAAAAGCTGGTATTAGAACAACGTGTTCCATAAAGTTATTTCTGACACTGGGATATAAAATGAGCTTTAATGTCCAGCAGCTGTTAGACGCCGAGAGCAGAGAAATAAGCAGCTTTTGCGACCCTCTGGCCTGGTTTAGTCACCTCAGCACACCATTAAAGCCAAGGACATCTGTGCAAACACGCATTCGTCAAGAACTCAAACAGGGTTGCATGCAAATGCCGCAAATATGATCAATTAGCGGCATATTATTGTATCTTTAGATTTGTTACTTCGTGACAGTCTAAAATGGACGACAACGCATCACTCGTGATTCAAAACAGCAAAGATTAAATATGCACGTTCAACATCAAGTCCAGCACCAATATATTCTGATGAAAACTGTTGGTGGTTTAAATAGAAATGAATCGAGTACTTACCGATTAAAAGCTCTGTTTCTTCCCTGCACGTATTAATTCCATTAATTACACAAATATCGGTGCTTGAGGCGTTGGAGAAATCCTTCACAGCCATGCGTTGCGGTTTGACTGAAACGCACTTTTATTTTTATGTGAGGTTTAATTCATGTCCATGCTCCCGCACGCGCCCGTGGAAACCTCGGGTCGGCAGCCTCGCGCATTTATATCGCTCCGCCCTGCGCTGTGACGCGTTTCCAGCTGGAACTACTTACTGATTAGATCTTGCGCAATAATTCAACCCAAGCGGTCACTAGTGGGTTAAAGCGCTCTAAACTCATTTAAACTTGATAGCAATTATATAACACTCGATTTTACAGGCGCATAAAGCAGTGTCTGATTTTAATACTATTTATGTTATTATCCATAATGTTAAAATCATGCTGATTTGATATTTTTGAGGCATGTTTATTCACTTCGTCTCTAAATAATCTGGCGAAATAATGTTTCCATATGCGAGGCTGTGCTGCAGAAGGCTAAAAATAAAAGATGTCATAGCAACAATGCAGCCATTGGCTGGCGCGAGCTGGTGGCGTGGTGGCGTAAGCTCAGCGCGTAACGACGTGCATGATGGGAATTGGAGTTCCCAGACAACAGAACGAAGCAATGAGAGCTTTTGGTGTGTTTAAATTTTTTTTTTTAATATATGAGATTAAAAACTAATGCAACTTGGCGTCAACCTAAAGACCCAAACACAAATAATTAGGTCAAAAGAAAACAATCTTGTCATTTTTGGTCAGTACTCTTTACTGGCTTTTGGAATATGTTCCCCTCGGAAATTAGATTTGATTTTTGAGAATTAGTATATAGTTTAATCAAAATAATTTAGGATTGTGTCTTAGGAATTTATTACTTGTAAAAATGAACTCTTTCACATTTTCTCACCCATTACGCAAAGAGGAAGTGATATGGTTTACACTCTAAAAAATGCTGGGTTAAATACAAGCCAGTGCTGGGTAAAATAAGGACAAACCCAGCAATTGGGTTGCTTTGATCCAGCGGTTGTGTTAAATGTTTAACCCAACCTTCTGGGTAACCCAACAGCTGGGTCAAAGCAACCCAATTGCTGGGTTTGTCCCTATTTTACCCAGCACTGGGTTGTATTTAACCCAGCATTTTTTTAGAGTGTACCATCAACATGACACATCTGATATTTAACCTTACGTCTCGTAATTTTTACTATAAGACAGCGTGTCCCCATCTAAACATCTCATTTCAGTCCAAATGTTCACATGCTTGCTAAAAACCTATCTGGTGTAAAATTGACATTCTAATGGCTTTTATATGCAGGTGCTGCGCTGAACTAAACATCTCGACATTTACACAGCCTCCGATTTACTTCTGACAGACCGAATGTTACTAAACATTTCCTCAGCAATGCCCGATGTAAAATATACTGCATGCTGGGTGAACTGTGAGGAGCTGTTTTGAACATCAGTGGACTGCAGATGTCTCTGCTGCATATTCATCTCTGAAAAGTGAAGAACAGGTATGTAAACAAAGCATTAGCCTAAAGACCAGACAGGGGAAGGCATTTAGCTATGATGCTTATAAAACGGCAGTCACATTGTCTTAAAAGTCTTAAATATTATGATGGAAATCTCTTTATTAAATTGTATAAACTCATTTAAGTTTTTTTAACTAACTGGACCTTTAATATCCCATCCGTCTTAGAACTAACCCACCTCAATGAAACACAAGAGACATAAGAATTAAGGGCATATAGGAGATGATTCATATATTTTTAGTCTCAGGTGTCTCAGTTTAAAGACAAATGTAAACACACATTCTATTTTAGTCATTATTCTTTGAGCAGAGAACTAAACACTGAATTTGAACACATGAAATATGTAATACAAGAATATTAAATGTTAATATTAATATAACTAATTTGTAATTGATGAATTATCAGTCTGACGCCCTTGAGTTCAAAACAAAATATAAATCTTTGTATATATAAACAGAAAATGTATATTTAATTTTTTTATGTAAGATTAATTCATATTAGTTTATATGATTTTTTTTTATTTTTTGCAAGTGTTTATTTTATTTGCAACAACATTTACAAGCATAAAAGAAAGAAAAAAACATTCTAAACAAAAACTGAAATTCTGACATAAATTAAAGCGTATTATATATTTTTTCGGAAGTATTAGCCTACACCACAACATAGTCCTACAAGCAATTTAGCTTTTAATTCTTAAAAAGACTTAAATGTATCAACATCACGTGACGTCAGTGCCGGTTGGGAGACAATGAACTTAACAGGAACAGGGTTTGCATGGGAAGTAAAGGATTGGGCTGCAAAAATGTCACTGAATAATATTACATTTTCACCAACAGTTACAATTTCCCCAATACCTCCTTGGTTTTTCAGTCAACCTAAAGTTGATTTTCAAATTCAAGAATATATTCAAAAAGGACAGATTGACATTGATATCAAAACCCATTCAACAGAATATATCAGAACAGTTTATTATGCATTTCTGCCTATATACACTGATGGCGCAAGAAACCCAGAAATAGGTCGTACTGGATCTGCATTCTATGTTCCAGAATTTAAAATGGGAAACTATGGGAGGTTAACGGATGGGACATCAGTGTACACAGCCGAAATGGTGGCAATTCAGATGGCACTTAGTTGGCTAGAAGAAGTGATGCCAAATAAGGTAGTGATTTGTTCAGATTCAATGGCATCACCTACCAGTCTTCAAACTTTTCAAACCGTTAGATATGATATCTTTATAGAAATAATGAATATATTGTATAGAGTAAGACATGCTGGAATAATAGTTCATTTTGTTTGGGTTCCAGCGCATGTTGATATACCAGGAAATGAAAAAGCTGATAAAATGGCTAAAGAGTCACTTAATCTGAATACTCCTACTATTTCAGTTTCACTAAGCAGGATGGAGGGGGAAAGTCATATATATACAAAACAGGGTAAGTCAAAGCAAAATGATACTGAACTTAAGTAGAGAAGATCAGGTCATTTTAACAAGACTAAGGATGGGTCATAAAACACTTAATTCTACAATATAATAGGGAAACACAGTACTGGATTATGTGAAACATGCCAAGTAAAGGACACAGTTGATCATGTGTTGCTACTCTGTCCGAGGTATGAACAGGAATGAACTACAAAGAGAATTACAGAACTTAGGATGCAATGAATTTTCAATCGGCAACATATTAAACACAAAACAAGGATGTGGTAAAATAATAAAGACCATTTTAAAATCCATTAGGAATAGTGGATTTAAGAATAGCATATAGAATCCATAATATATACCCTAGACTGAAATCACTTCACTCCAGCACAGGAGGTGGCGGTATGCACCTTAAAAGCTGGTATGCGACCCGCCAATAAAGCCACAGAAGAAGAAGACGCCAGTGCCGTAAACCGCCAGCGGCTGTCGTGATTCGGCACATGTGTAGCTGTCGCTGTTGTCACTCGGTGAGCTCGACTCATGAGAGATTATGGGTTATTAATGGTGTAAATGTATAACTTAAACCGGAGCAGCTGGACAACATCTGTCTGCACACAAACACGGGCTCCTGAGGCTTCGTCGGGACGGAGAGGTAACTTAATATGACAGAAAACCTGCAGCAGAATCTCATCACAGAGCCTGAAAGAGTGTCAGATTCATAGATCAGTAGCTAAAAGATGTGTATCGAGCACTAGCAGTACTTACGCTCAGTCTGTGTTAGATCTCGGATGTCTAGCAGCTCGCAGCGTGTCGTTTAGTCCGGCTCGGCTCGGGTCTGGTTCTGGTTCTGGTTCTGGTTCTGGTTCTGGTTCTGGTTCAGTATGTTTGTGCTGGTGGAGATGGTGGACACGGTCCGGATTCCGCCCTGGAGTTTCCATCGGCAGCTGAACGAAGCGATCGCCGAAGAACTCAACAAGAAACTCGCCAACAAGGTGAGCAGAGAAACTGACATGAAGATGCGTGTTTGTCATCATGCTGAAGATTGCTCAACCCTTGATGGTGCTTAGCTGTCTACTTTAAAGGGGTCATATGAGGCGATTTCATTTTTTCCTTTCTCTTTGGAGTGTTACAAGCTCTTGGTGCATAAAGAAGATCTGTAAAGTTGCAAAGACTAAAGTCTCAAATCCAAAGAGATATTCTTTATAAAAGTTAAGAGTCAGCCACTCCTACCTAAAACGGCTCGTTCTAACACGCCCCCACATGTCTACATCACTATGTGGGAAGATTTGCATAACGCCACCCAAATGTTCACGCAAAGAAAGAAGGCGTAACTTTTATTCTCGCTGTAGTATTGTTGCTGCCG